ATACCCATACTCGGTCGACCTAGAACCGAATTGGGTCGATCGCGAAATCGAATTACGATCTTCATTTTACGTCAAATATGATGGATAAATGGATACAACACTTCTCTTCAATCTGGTCGACCTCATGCTGTAAATGGTCGACCATTTTGTGAATGACCGTCATCAAGTGTTCGACCTGTATACCTTTACGTTCAACCATGTTGCTTCTGACACCACCGAAAAGGGCGACCGAGGTTTTATAGTGGTCAACCAAAAATAACAACTTAAACTACAAACGGTCGACCGTATGATCTTTGAGGTCGACCGCGATGAGTCTTCAGGGTGCCCAAATTAGTCAATTCGGTCGACCGCTGTTACGATTAGGTCGACCGAAATGTCCATCTCACGGTGACCTGCTCGATTAATTCAAAGTTTGAACTCCAAAATTACGCAACAGATATCGCAGTCGAGACCGGCCTTGTCGGGGCAATTGACGGTGAAGACGGTGGGGTTGCTGGCGTCTTTGCTGGCTGGATCAGGACGACGTTCTTGCTCGTAATGCCCATGCCGATGACAGAATTAAAATTCCATAAAAAGAGGGAAAGAAGCTATGCGATTGGGACTGGACGAGCTCCTCATCGTCTTGTTCCATGGGTGGAGTTAGGGCGGCAACAACGGCGACGGGAATGGCGCAATCGAGGGATTGGGGGCAGGCGGCGAATCTGCGGGGAGGTCCGTCAACAACAAGGATGTCATCGTCCTCTTCGTCATCGGCGATGGGCCAATGGTCTGGGGAGGGGCGGAGGAGGATTTCAGAGAAGGTGGTTGTCGTCTTGGTGGTGGGTGGCGGAGGAGGGAGGGGTGGCGAACCGCAGATCTGGGAAAGTGAATGAAAGTAACAGACGGTTGGAGAAAGAAGAGAGCATAATTCTTCTTTTTTGCTTCTAACACGTGTCAATTTTTTATTGGGAGGGGTGGCTGCCGTGTGGGAGCCAGCTCAGCATCGTAAAGGTTAGTTAGCATCATCTAACGAAATTGTTAAGAGTGAGTTCAGTTAACGTTTGGCTAATTTTTTGTATTTCAATAGTTGTGGCTATTATTCCCCACTACTCAATAGCTCTGGCTAATATATTGTATTTACCCTTTTCTATTTTAACTTGTGTTGTGCAACTAATATCGGGTTAATTGCATGGTTGGTCATTGAGATTACAAAAAACGTTCATGTTTGGTCACTGGAAATATTTAAATCCAATCTTGGTCACTCAAATTAGTTAAATGGTTCAAGTTTGGTCACTCTCCGTCCAATTCCGTTAAATTTGTCTGATGTGACAGTCAACCCTCAAAGTTGACCGTTAACTCAGTGACGTGGCAATTAAAAATTAATAAATAATAAATTTTAATCTTCTATCATTTCTAACTCATTTTCAAAATAAAATAAAATAAAAAAACAAAAAAATTATTATAGTTACAGATTGAAAGGGTAACTTCCTCTCCCGCTACTACATCCCTTCCCCGCAACCAAATCAGCCCCCAATTTCGCCCCCTGCCGCCTTCGTAGCCGCTCATGGGCGGTGATATTTGTATGCCCATTATCTGTAGGCTACAGCGGAAGCATAAGCAGAGATATGAAGACGAAGAAGATGCTGATGATAATGATGGCCTTACATTGTTTCGTCATCACCACCATCGCATCTCTTTCACTGTTACCCCTCTGATCCCCTCTCTCATCCTCTTTATTATTAATACACACTCATTCCATACACACCCATAAACCGTCTCTCTCTCTCTCTCTCTCTCTCTCTCTCTCTCTCTCTCTCTCTCTCTCTCTCTCTCTCTACAGAGCCAGAGGCTGCTTGCTTGCTTGCTTCTTTCTCTTTGCTCTACTCTTCTCTCCATCTTATTTCTTCCATTATTATATACAATTTGTTTTGCTAGCTGTTGTTTATTTTGTTAGCAACGCAACCAGCGAGCAATTCCATCTCTTGTTCCACTTTTTTGAGTTTCCCCGTTTTTTCTTTGCTTTCCATCATTAAGCTTTGAGATAGAGGGTTTTGTGGCTTCTGTTCGAGACTCTCTCTGTGCTTTTCCCCTTCTTTTTTCTTTTTTCCTTTCTCATGTTCTTCTTTCTTTCTCTTTAGTTATGGCGGAAGGGTATCTCTCCACCTACTGCGCGTCGTTGGGAGCTGATTTGGTTGCGGAAAGAAATGTGGTGGCGGAGGAGGAAGCTACCCTTTCAATTTGTAACTATAATAATTTATTTATTTATTTTATTGTGAAAATGAGTTGGAAATGATAGAAGATTAAAATTTATTTTATTTATTATTTTTAATTGCCACGTCACTGAGTTAACAGTCAACTTTGAGGGTTGACTGCCACATCAGACAAATTTAGCAGAGTTGGACGGAGAGTGACCAAACTTGAACCATTTAACTAATTTGAGTGACCAAGATTGGATTTAAATATTTTCAGTGACCAAACATGAATGTTTTTGTAATCTTAGTGACCAACCATGCAATTAACCCAACTAATATCATATTGAGAGATAAATTAGAGCAAGTCACGTCCTTATTTTGTCATGTCCTATTCAATTTCATTCCACCTCCGCTCCATATAATTCGATTATCTTTTTCTATTTAAGTATTTAACATATAGTCATGTTACGGGAGAAGATAGGTGGAGTTAGCACCATCCTAACTAAAATCTAAACCATTTACTTATATTTTAATAAAGGGTATAATTGAAACAAAGAAAAAAAATGAGAAAATAAAATTAATGTTGATTTACGGGAAAGTGTACTCGCGGATTTTGAGGGATTTCCGTCTGAGGCAATTGCTATCCCAAAAAACAAAAATCAGTACTAACTATACACTCCCAAAATAAAAATCACTACTAATCTGTCAGGATCCCACAATAGCTTAAACACTACTACACTATTTTGAAAGGATGTCAAACATTCATAAGCACTACCAATTCTTCCAAATCAATAACAAAAAACACTACTGGTATGCGAATAACTAACAAGAAACCACTACGAACACTAATAAACACTAGTACAATATTTTCAAAGGATCTCAAGCATTCAGAAATACTACTAATCTTCAGGTTCTTCAAAATCAATAACAAAGAAATACTACTAATTAATACGAGTATAAGTAAGAAGAAAAACACTACTAAAATTGAAAATTACTAACAAGATAAACGCGTAAAACATTACTAACAATGAAAACACTATTACATATTACCAAAAAAAAAAAACACTATTACATATCTGAAGTAACACTACTGCCTACGCCATAATCATGAATCACTACTAATGTTCAAGAAACAACAAAATCATTGTTGCAATCCCCAAAAGTTAGACAAGAAATGGTTGCATGCAATTGCACCGGTGAGAGAATCAAGAGTCGGTTATGCTCTCAAAAGAAGACAATATCTGACGGCGTTCGCACATGCGAAGGCGAGGGCGGGCTAATGCGGAACGATGTAGGAGACGAGAAATCGGCGGCACAGGGTAAGCCAAAGGCGGACGAATGCGAGAGCGGTGGATGGGGCGACATAGAGGAGGTTGGCGAAGGCGAGGGTAGCGCCGACGTGTCGCCGGGGAGGCGAGGGCGGGCGAGTGCAAGAGCGGTGAAGGAGAGTGAGGCAGAGGTGAATTTGGCGAAGATGAGTTTAGAGAGGAAGAGAAAGAGAGGAACAAAAAATAGAAAGAGATGGATTAAAACTCTTCAGATCCCCTAATCTCGTCCACCCCACCCTTTTTCCTCCTAATAGCACGTTTTGAAGACACCACTTAATTTTGGAATACCCACTACATCCTTGCCTAATGAGAATCGTCAAATTATAAATAAAAAAGCATTTGACGAAAATTACGACAGTTAGCACGATTCTAACCCTTTAAAGGATTAGCATCTCATTCCTCGTGTTTACCAAGTTTTAACTTCTATAAAAAAAAAATTAATCGTTTAACAAACTGTATGACTCTTTATCCGTTAATTTTAACTTCCTTAGTTATGTTTTTCTTTTTGTCCGAAAGACTTTTTTGCCCTTATCTTTTCATAAAAAGTCTTGGTTTCATATATTTTCTATGAATCGCATTCATATATTAAAATAGGTCAACATACGAGACATGTCTCGTGTATAATAAAATTAGTGGACATAATATATATGTTTTTTCTAAAGAACTATTTGAAATACTACTCCTGTGGTGCCTTATGAGTTATGACACTATACACACTTTGTAGAACTAAAATATCTATAGTCTCAAACATGTTATGGGGGTATGAACACCAAATATGCTATAGCTCGTGAATTGAAGGGAAAGTAAACACTACAAACTCAAAAAAGGGAAGAACAAAAAACACGCATGGAATGATATCTCAAAACTCCGATATCATTTCTCCCCTGGCGTGGTTGTTGGTGAAGACTGAAGAAAGAAAAACATTTTTTCCGAACCCTCTATAATTGAATTTTCCACCAAATCTGCTGCCAGATGATTGCGGAGTTAGTACTTGGTACTATAATGTGTTATTTTGGTCAACCATTGAATTCCTTTTTAGTCACACACCATTACACCAACTAATTCCTCATACACAATTGGTCATATCTTTTCTCTTCAAGGTCCACCCCCCTGCATTACTTCTGTTCCACGCCACCACAAAAACCCTAAAGCCCCCTTAATTAAAGAGGAAGAAAATCTGCTACCCTTCAACAATGGAGAGGGTTGTGTCCATTATCCACATAACTACTCCCCTCATCCCACTAATTGAACCCTTTTAAACCAAATTCTCCCAAACCACAAAAAGCACTATAATTAACAACAATACCATCATCACCTTCCACTCCTACAGGCTGCATTAGTCCCTTGTGGTAATCATATATAAATCCCAAGTCCATTCATCCATCACAACAGAGCAAACCACCATATCTGATCCTTCTCTAACTTCTCATATCTTCTCGCATCTTTCCAATCTTCTCAGAGTCACTGAAACAGAGAACAACCCAGAAAGGAAAGGAACATTATGTCGACCACAATTGACATCACGGAGGAAACCAGCGCGGTTGCAAAGGGCAAGGCACCACTCATCGCCACAACCACTTACAGCGACGGTTCCAAGGGGAACATCAAAACCAAGGGCGCCGTCGCCGCTGCTGGGTACAAGAAGGGGATCGCCATTTTCGACTTCCTTCTCAGGCTAGGCGCCATAGTCGCAGCTCTCGCCGCCGCCGGCACCATGGGCAGCAGCGAGCAGACCCTCCCTTTCTTCACTCAGTTCTTCCAGTTCCGAGCTAGCTACGACGACCTCCCCACTTTTCAGTACGTCTCTCCTTCATCAAAACTTAGAGTTAAAAGCGCGATTTTGACTACGTAAACAAACATAAGTGTTAATGATTTTGTTAATTTGTCAGGTTCTTTGTGATTGCAATGTCAATCGTGGGGGGCTACTTGGTTCTTTCCCTCCCCTTCTCAATCGTCCTCATCATCCGACCATCAGCGGTCGCGCCCAAGATGCTCCTCGTCGCCCTCGACATCGTAATACGACGACCTTAATTAATCCAAGCAAAGCATTAAATCCAACAATGTTTTAGAAATTGGACCGTTTAATTAAGTTGGTTAATTAACTGTTGCAGGTGGCTCTGACTCTGAACGCGGCGGCAGGAGGGGCGGCGGCGGCGGTAGTCTACTTGGCGCACAACGGCAACTCGAGCGCCAACTGGCTGGCCATCTGCCAGCAGTTCGGCGACTTCTGCCAGAAAGTGAGCGGCGCTGTCGTGGCTTCCTTCATCTCCGCTGTGGCGTTGGTGTTCTTGGTCGTCCTCTCTGGTTTCGCCCTGCGAAGGCATTGATATATCCAAAAGAAAGAAGGGTGCTCATACAATATGTGATCCCCACCTTAATTCTTCCATTTTAATTTTTAATACTTTCGATTTCACTGTACTTTTGTTAATTGTCCATCTGAGTTTCGGGCTTATTGTTGAGAAACTTGTAATCTTGTGTTGAATTACGAAAGCATTGGAATGAAATATCTGATTCTGATTCCTACTGCATTTTTCTATATTTATATGTTTGGATAGAATGATTTGAATTTGATATTTGTGATTTGGATTTCCAAATATTAATTTTTGTGTTTGTATATTAATTACATTTGGTATTTGGATTTGTGTCAAATTCATGGGGTGATTTCCAAATACATGTCTAGTGTATTACTTGTCAACTTCAAATACATTTCAACAACTAGTGATTTGAAATACTTCCTAACAAAAGATTGGACCTATTTGTAAAATATTAAAAGTTTAGATAGGACAAAACATAGGGTTTGGATAAGTGTGTTCAAATGTAAGGTATTTGAAATACAAGTATTTAAAATGCATGTATTTGAAATACTAGCATTTGAAATACATGTAATTCCCGTTGTTTGAATACTCATTTGTAATTTGTTTGTATATTAAGTTTTGTGATTTTTTATTTTAATTTTGAATTTTCTGATCACTTACTACAAATTATGGTAAATTATAGTTTGGTACCCAAATTTATTTTTCTTATAATTTAGTACCTAAGCTTTTAAAATTTTACAAAAAGGTCCAGAAATTTTGATGATAAAATTACATTTTGGTACCTTTTTATGTTCTTCCTCACACTATAGTACCTAAACTTTTGATATTTTACAAACAAGTCCAATCTTTTGTTAGGAGGTATTTCAAATCACTAGGGCAAAATACACTTGGGTAGCCAAAACTTTGACGGTTTGGTCAAATATAGCCACTTTTGACGAAATACCAAAAATAGCCACTTCCGTCTAATTCTTTGACGGTGTTAACCAAATAGCTGACTAGACTAACGGAAAGATTGAGTTGGCAACAATTAGTCAATTTAAATGTGAGGTGGAAAATAAATATAAACTAATTAAATATTTCTTTATTTTCTCTCTCCCACCACTTCAATTTAATATCAACACGGCGGCGACTCATCTTATTTCTCTCCAGCCGACCGCTTTAGCGGAGCAGAGGGTGGCGGTTTGTCTTCTTCTCCGACCGGTGTGCGACCAAGATTGGGAGGCCTCGTCGAAGAAGATTGTCGGCGATCAGCAGAGGCGGTTATGGCAATAGGTAAGTGGGGGAGAAGGGCACCGGGACTGATCGTCTTCTTCTCCTTCTCCGCTTCCGCCCGCAAACCATACCTCCGACCTGCCCTTCTCTTTACATTCGTCCAACAGATCTATCTCAATATGGCTCCTCCACTCTCCAAAACCCTAACCCGCCACCCAAATCCCCTACTTCCTAATCATTTCTTCCACTTTGAGCCCACCTCCCTGTCAAGATTTGCTTGGTGGGTTTAGTGGACAAGGAACGAATTTGTACTTATTCTCCGGTTGGTTGAGTTTTGGGGCAAAAAGGGGTTTTGTGGAAGATCAAGCCGATTCTGGGTTTCTTCCTGTTGGATCTGCTTTCAATTAAGGTGCATCTCATTCCTCTTTCTTTCTCTCTTCCCGTGTTTCTGTTGTCGCTTTGATTTTGTTTCTTCCCCATCTGGGTATTAATGGGTATGGGTTGGATTTCTCATATGTCTGGCGACAAACGGGGCTGTGACGACTTGGGGGAGGAGGAGCAGGAAGTTTGCGCAAGCGGGTGAAAATGAGAAATCTCGATGCGGTATTGAGGGTTCAAGCTTGGTTGCTTCGTATCCCTGATTTTTGCAGCTCAAAGTATGGATCTTGCGACACCCGACCAGTTGCAGAAGACGCCGACGGCGGTGTAGAGGAGAGAAGACGACAACATCGAGTGGGAGAGGAGAGAGGATGAGAAATTTATTTTATTTTATTTTTAAATTAAAATATGACATGGCATCCATGTGGCAACTGTTGTTGAATCCATGTGGCAACTGTTGTTGAGTTGGCGATGATGTGTCAGATGAGTTGGCAGTCAGGTAAGCATTCCGTTAATTGGATTAACGGTGTCACTGACGCCGTTAAAATATGTAACGGAAATGGCTATATTTGTCATGAAATCTTCAAAATTTTGGCTATATTTGGTATTTCGCCAAAAGTGGCTATTATTGTCACAAACGTGAAAGTTTTGGCTATACAGATGAATTTTGCCAATCACTAGTTGTTGAAATGTATTTGAAGTTGACAATGGGGGTGACAGTTCGGTTTTCGGCTAGCGGTTATCCGACCGATTTAACCGATAACTGCCGGTTAACAGCTAACCGAAAATCGACGGTTAATTGATGCGGTCGGTGATGGTGAGGATAGTCTCGGTTGACCGAGTAACCGAAACTCTGTTAGCCGAACGAACCGACCGATATCCATACGATGCCGTTTCAATGATAGAAAAGTAAAAATAAAAATAAAATCCCAAACCCTACCTCTTTGCCGACCTTGGACCCTCACCAATCACCCTCCACTCCCGCCGCCCTTCACCCTCATAACTCTTCTTCTCACCCCTCACCACCAGTGTCGTTCGCCGTCCACCATCGCCTCGCCGTCTCCTCCACCGCGACCCACTCCCAGACGACCCTCCGCCGTTCAACCGCGACATCGCCGGCGCCTTCGCTTGCTGACTGCGCCCTCGCCCCGTCGTCCCGACCACACCCCTCTGCCGCACCATCGCCTCGTTTAACTCGTCGGCTCGCCTGCAACCGACCATCTCGTCTGCCATTCCGGTTACCACGGCTTACCGAACCAAATCCGAAAAACCGGCCGGTCGGTGGTCGATTAACCGTCGTCTTCTCACGGTCGGCAGCTCTGGGAGGCGACTTGGTTTAACCGATAACCGAGAAATTGGTTTTTGATTAAACCGAAACCGACCGACTGCCACCCCTAGTTGACAAAAAATACACTAGACATGTATTTGGAAATCATCCAATGAATTTGACACAAATCCAAATACCAAATGTAATTAATATCCAAACACATGATTTGACATTTAGAAATCCAAATCACAAATCACAAATACCAAATCCAAATCATGCTATCCAAAACACCCTAAAGGTATCAAAATGCAATTTTACCATCAAATTTTAAGGACCTTTTTGTAAAATTTTAAAAGTTTAGGTACTAAATTGTAAGAAAAAATAATTTTGGATACCAAACTGTAATTTACCAAAATTTGTAGTTCGTGACCAGAAAATTCAGAAATTAAAATAAAAAAACATAAAATTTAAAATATAAACAAATTACAAATGAGTATCCAAACAACGAATTTGAATTACATGTATTTCAAATGCTAGTATTACAAATACATCCATTTCAAATACATATATTTCAAGTACGTTAAATTTGAAATAAACCTATCCAAACACACGTAATCTTACCATAAAGTATCACATCAAGAGTAAGGTTTCGAGGGGTAACTTAGCTTATGCCAGGAAGAGCCGCAAATTTTTTTTGGTGCCCTGTTTTTTTTATCTACCTAGTTTCGGTCGCTTTGTTTTTTCTGAAATGATGATTTTTTGGCGTATTTACATTTTTATATGCGACTATCAGTTGCATAATTTAGACATAACTTATGTTTAGCGTTTAAATTTAGAAATAACTTGTGTTTAGCATTTAAATTTAGAAATAAATCATGCTTAATCAGAATAACTAAGAAATTATGAGCTTATTAATTACCTAGTTTAGACATAAATTATGTTTAAGGTTTTTTTTGTCAAAAGATATCATATATTGATTCAAAAAAATAGATAGTTACATCCTGGAAACCAGCCAGGTCCGGAAATCAAAGAAGCGACTCATAGTCGGATATAAGGAAAGGGCTTTTCTAGCTACCGAATGAGCTACCCTATTGTTCTCCCGACCTACAAAACGCACACTAAAACCAGGCTGGGTACGTAAAAAATGACCTATCTCTTCCAGGACAGCACCCAACTAGTTGTCTCTTGTGTCGGCTTGATTAATTTTGTCAATAATCACCTTCGCGTCCTCCTCAAACCGGACCTCCGACAAGCCACACTCCACACACCAAATCATAGCCTCCCTAACCACAAGCAATTCCACCACTGCAGGCTCATCCAAATGCGGAAACTGAATCCCCCTTGCCAGAAGGGGCGTCCACGCCGGGTCAAATACTACCATCCCACCAGCCGAATGCGACCCACCCTTAGTAGCCCCATCACACATGCAAACCAACCGGGAATCCCCCACTTGAGTAGTTGGTTGAATCAACGGAATCATCACCTTAGGAGCCTGGTCCGTTGGCAAGCCCACCCATTCCTCATATTGTTGGTTGAATTGTCGCATGAGCTCCGGGATCCCAAACTGTTTGCCTTCAAAGACAACCCAATAACGAGACCGCCAGATCCGCCAAAGGATGGCAACAACACCCATCACCAAGGACGCTTGATGGATCAGCGCCAACAGACGTTTGAGGAATAATGGAAATGTGTGCCGAGGCAAACCCTCCCCCAAGTAATCCAGCCCTGAATAATCCTAGAGAGCCCGCGCAACTGGACAATAAAGGAACAGGTGTTCCATCATCTCCGGGCCATCCCAACAAACTGGACACCTAGGCAGCACATGAACCTTTTTCTCAATAAGCACCTCCATAGTTGGAAGAACCCGATTAAGAATTTTCCAGACAAAGACCTTCAGCTTCGGGGGGATCTTAGCCTCCCACATCCTAATCCAACTCGGCTTATCCATCCAACTAACCGAGGATCGCCACCCACCCCTCCTCTTGTCCAGCTCAACAGCCAAATGGTAGGCCGACTTTACCGAGAAAACCCCATCCGCCATGTAATGCCAGATAAGCTTATCAGTCACATTTCGTCGCGGGAGAGGAATAGCCTTAATGGCACTGCAGGTAGCCGAGTGAAACCATTGACTGAGCTTTTCCTCAGACCACCGTCC